GCCGCATCATCTTCACTAATTGTTACACTACTGAGGTCTAAGTCTGGGAACAGTTCTTCAGCCCTACGTTTGAACATTTTCCAGCCACTGTCCCATAACTCAGTCATTTCGTGTTTATAGAAGTCTGACTGCTGAAAGCTCTCAATCACTTCCGCTTCAGTTCTGCCCCCAGCGGTTGTCCTCGATGGGCCCGCCCCCCCAGACTCCTCCCTCGCCAAGCTGCTGGCGACCGCGGCATCCACGACCATCTGAAATTCAGCAGACCCCTTGAATTGATCCACTGCTGCCACATACAGATCGAGGTAAGCCGCCATTTCAGAGGCTGCCTTCGCCCTCTCTTCATCCAGCTCCTTCTGCAGGGTCGCCGTTTCAGAGGCTACCTTAGCCCTCTCTTCCTCCCACTCCTTCTTCAAGGACGTCCTTTCAGCAGTTGCCTTGGCTTTCTCTGTCTCCAACTCCTTCTTCAAGGTCTCCCTCTCAGCAGTTGCCTTGGCTCTCTCTGCCTCCAACTCCTTCTGAAGGCTCTCCCTCTCTTCCAGTGCCTTTGCACGCTCGCCCTCCAGCTCCTTTTGCAGACCGCTAATCTTCACGTCTGCCTCATCCTTCTGCCTGACCAGCTCTTCATTACTGCTCATTACCTCTTCATGTCATTCGACCGCGACCGCGCAGGTTTTTTGGGTCTCATCTAACCTCTTCTGCTCGCCAGCCAGTTGAAACTCGAGCGACACAACCTGGCAGCGTGTGTTCTCCAACTCCACCTTCACCGCTTGCAGATCAGCGTGGGCACTCCCAACTTGCACTCTTTTCCTTCAACTTTGCAAGCTGAGTCTTGGCCTCATCTACCTTGAGTTTTGTAGCACCCGCTTTCCTCAGCAGAGCCCCTGCTAAGGTGGTTACCTCCATTTGAGCGGAGCATAACCCCCTCAGGAGTTCAGCCTCATTGAATCTAGCTGCTGAGCGCAAGGCTGCCTCTTCTAATATCCCCACAAGGCGCTCTACCCTTGCCCTGGCTAGGCCTTCTTCTCCCTCCAGCCGCCCAGCCACTGCACGAGCGTGGTAGATCGTAGTAGTCAGACTAACTCCCTCTCCTTGGGGTGCACGACCCCCTTGGGGCTGTTCTCCCCCTCCTTGGCTCAGGGTTAGTTGTTCCACCTTTTACTTGCACTTAAAGGGCGACCCTCACGATCCCTACGGCGATCGCCACCACTACTGGAACGACTTCCATGCCATCTGAGGCAATGTCCACCACTTCTAGGGCAATTACTCTTCCTGGGGTCTCCTTCACATCCCCCCCTCTGCCTCATTCACTATACTGGTCTTTTCTGCCCTCGCTTCCCTCTTTCTCTTCTGGGCAGGCTCTTCTTCACTCCTCCTCACTCTCTTCTTCTTCTTCACTACGCCCAACACCTCCATCTCCTTTAACGACCTCTTCTTCAAAGGATCTATTGGGGGCGGTCGTGGCACGAATTCACCTAAGTTTTTTTCCCCCAAGGGTTTGGGTCGCCGTCGGATCCTCTCCCTTGCAACCGGCTTTGGCGGTCGATCTGCTTGAGACTCTTTGAATTTTTGGGCTTTTGCAAGGACGGTCTGATCCTCTGCCTTTTGAGCCTTCTTCCTTGCCTCCAACTCCGTTCGGTTGAGGTCCCCACCACTCGGCTGTGGACCCAACCCTGCCTCAAACAAAGCTGACGGCTGAACGGGCTCGTTCCACCTGGCCCCTTCCTTCTCCCTCCATTCCTTTACCCTTTTCACTTTCTCCTCTACTGCTGCTCCCAACTTTGGCTCCACAGACTTGGTGGACACTTTCCAAATGGTGCGCACTCCAACCCCTCCACTGGAAGATACATAGAACCACCGTGGTCTCCAACCCTTGATCGACGACGGCAGCCCCGCCACCAGCCCTTTCCCTGCCGCTGCCTGCAGAGTGACCTATGTCTCTTGCTGCCCTGAAGCCTTGTAACATGCGAAGAATTCGTCTACTGTCATGGCCGCCCCTTCGTTCGCCTTTGGCCACGCACTTGCACAGGCGAGTAAGATCTTCCACGCATTGGGCATTAGTTGGCCCGACGCTACCTCCAAACGATTCAGGACATCTACCACCACTTGCGGCAGGGGCAACCTCAGTCCTCCCTTCAATGCTTCCTCATAAAGGACAAACTCCCCTGGCCTGGCGTCAGATGGCCTCTCCGTCGACATCGGCAACAACAACTCTATTTTAGCAGGCACCTGGTATTTTTCGCGAATGGCCTCCAAATCCGCTGCAGTAACCGTTGATCTATCTGCCTTTGTATGCCAGTGATCTGGTTCTGCCTGGCTGATTGGCTTTGGAGCTGCTACCATAGTGGAACCATGGGATCATACCACCGACTCCCCCACCCTCTCCATCCTATATTGCTGTGCTAACTCCACTGCATCATCATCACCAAGTGGATCTACCCTGACATTCGTAGTTTCTTCTTGGGCCATTTCTATGGTTTGCCTGCGAATCGCTTCAGATGCAGGTGCAAGGAAGTTGAAAAAGTGTTGCAAAGGTGTATCGCGAGCAACAAAGGAATTCACACTTGGAATATTTTGATTTTTCATAAACAAGTAGGTGAATCGAATAATGCCAAAAGCCCACGGTTTGCCCGTATTCCAAGGATCCCAATTAATTTTTCGCCAGTTTGAAAACTTTTCAAATCATCCGCCAAAACTACCTTTTCAATACCCATAATGACCTATCGTTTCACTTTTGATCTAACGCCTAATCTCCCCCCCCTCGCGGGATGTTGCCACATGTACGACCACGATCCACTGTTTCCTCTCCTTACCCTGTTTTTTCCACTTCAAATCACCACATGACATGCCGCCTCTCGAGCCCCACGCCCCTCCACCTCACCTTTCGCGGTCGACCCTCCTCGTGGTCGACCCTTCCACTCGGTCACCCTTCATGGTCGGCCTTCCTCGTGGTCAACCTTCCCACTCGGCCAACCTCCGCGGTCGGCCCTCTTCGTGGTCGACGCTCCCACTCGGCCAACCTTTGCGATCGGCCCTCCTCGTGGTTGGCCCTTCCACTCGGTCACCCTGCACGGTTGGACCACCTCCCGGTCGGCTCACCCTCTTGGTCACCCCTAACACCCTCATCTTCTTCATTTGTATTCACTTCGTTGGACTAAAGCTGCACTCGGGAATGAGGGACTACTGACGTGTATAAACCCATAAAGGCCATGAATCACTATGAACAACCCAAGCCCATCACTTGGAGCCCGACATATAACCCAGCTGGTGATGTCCAGGACAGTTGGAATCCAACATGGCATAAAGAGCCACTGACATTCAGACACATGGCAAGTGAAGGACGAGCCACATCAGCAGACAAAGATCTACAAAGTTATTGCCATTGCACATCACCATTAATGCAACCTATCACAGCATTTATTACGACAATACCTCTCCGTCGGAACAGGACCCCCTTACCCTGAACAAGGGAAGCTACAGCATAGACTTTCGGCGAGGAGGTCAGGTCGGAAGGGACAGCGAAATGATTACCAAAGGATATAAGCAAACGTTGAAGACAAGAAGAAGGTTAAGCCTTTCTATCTCTAATCTCTTCCTCTACACTCTACTTCTCTTCCTAACTTGCTCGTCGGAGGGTTCACTGGGGGACTACCCCGTTCCCCGTTGAAATTGTTTGCAGGTCATCCGGTGGGCTTGATCATTTGGACCTGGGCTTGAGGAGCTTGGACCAATCCGACCCATTCACTGAGACAAACTGTACTATCAAATGATAAGGTTTAATTTCACATTATCATTTATTACAAATACTTGGCATCAGAGCTGCTACAGGGCCCAAAATTTTCAAACTCGAATTTGCCTCGAATCCAAAACGACGTCGTTTTGGATTATCTTACTGGTAAAAGAATTTTAATATATCTTATCAGTAAGAGAATTTTATTACATGTTATCGGTAAGAGAACCCAAAACGACGTCGTTTTGAATTTCGAACCAAATGATTTCGAGCCCTCAAACAATTTTCTACTTGGCATGCTAGTATTTGCAAATTTCATATTTCAAAAATCTCAACAACTCAAACCTTCAAAGTTTTAAAAACATTTTTATTTCAAGGAATTAAGACTTTTAAAAAGTTTATTTTAAATTATTAATAATGATATGATAAATTATGTGTTGATTTTTAATTTAGCACAATTTTTTTTGTCACCACAATGTGAGTGAATTATGAAATTTTAAATCGCAAGTCTCAAACAGTCTTTTTTTTTTTTCTTCTTTTATCTTTTTTTTTAAAATTTCTTTGGGTAAAACTGTAACATGGTGTAGACATTTTCTAATTGTTGTTGTGCATAGCAACATATATATATGTTGCGACCAATGTCTTCGTTTTATGAGTTTGAAGTGAACTTCTAAAATGAGTCTTTTATAAATAAATAAATAAATAAATAATGTAATAATAATAATTTGGAAAAAAATTTGACAACTATTCAAGTGTTTTTTCTTTTTTTAATTTACAGATACCCAACAAAGTTTTCTTGCAACATATATATATATATGTTGCGACCAATGTCTTCGTTTTATGAGTTTGAAGTGAACTTCTAAAATGAGTCTTTTATAAATAAATAAATAAATAAATAACGTAATAATAATAATTTGGAAAAAAATTTGACAACTATTCAAGTGTTTTTTCTTTTTTTAATTTACAGATACCCAACAAAGTTTTCTTATATAATTAAGACATGAATAAATCATTATAATAACTAAAAAATATATTTAATAAATGATTTTGTTGCTTTAATAGTTTAGCAAAAAATAATTTTGTTGAGCAGAAAACAGAAGATACTTATAACAAGGAAAAAAAATACAAAGTTATACTAATTTAAAATATCAAAAAAATTATTTATTAATTAATTTAGAGAAAAACAAAAAAAAGAGTAGGCAAATGTCGAAAACTGGAGAAATCAAGCGCCCACGTGGATAATCACAAATTCGGTTTCTTTTTTTTTCCTGAAACTGCCACAATGCCTATGCTCTCTCTCTCTCTCTTTTTGAGATGAAATCATAGTCGTCTTCTTCTTGTTCATTTTCATTCCTGTATTGGAATCAGAACACCATTCTCAGCCAATTGCATTGGGTCTCCACCACCAACCCAGAACCTGAAAGTCGAAATTACAAAGAGGGTCTTCCTCTACTACATTCGACACTACTCCCCTTTTTGTGTCCACCCAAGATTTCTCAAACCCTTTTCGACCCAGAAGAAGAAAAAAACAAAATCATGGCCGCTGAACCCTCAGGATCCAGTGGGTCCGCTGATTCCTATCTTGGGAGCCTGATTAGCTTGACATCCAAGTCTGAAATTCGCTATGAAGGTGTTCTTTTCAAAATAAACACTGCAGAAGCTAGCATCGGATTAAGCAATGGTATATACTAATTTTCGTTTTCATTTCTCTTTAAATTTTGAATTTGGGTTTTTTGTTTATTGTTGTTTTACATTTTTAATTTGCATGCATGTTTTTGAGGTTTAGCTTTCTGGGTATGTTTGTTTTTGCTTTCTTGGTTTGGGTTTCTTGTTAATTTGAATGGGTTTTGTTTGATTACATTTTTATGATGATTATAGAATCTGCACTCTGAGAAATTGATATTGTTGTTTAACAACACTAGGAAGATAGTTAATTTTGTTATAGATGTTCATACCCATTTCAAGAAGGGCATGAAATGTGATGATGGTGAGAGGCTAACCCAGTTATGACAGTAATGACCAATCTGGAAACAATAAATGCGCGGTCATCAAAGGCATAATTGATTTATAGTCAATATGTATACTGATTTAGAACTTTTTTCCTCATTGTTTTTGTTGTAATTTTTGAAATAATGGAGATATGAAGCTTTAATTATAGATTTTCACAGGCTTTTAGATGCCATAAAATATGAAGCTTTAGTTTGTACTTGGAGTTCCGGAACTTGTGTGTGTTCTCATGTTTTTTTCTTGTTTCATTCAAAGAAATAATAGAATTATTCTTGAATGGTTGCTATCGCATTTTGCTTCCATTCTATATATCCATTGTCTCTAATAAGGAAAATCATATTTTTGAGTGTTTAAACCTTTGTAGGCCTTAAGCAGCCTTTATATTCTATGTCTGGCATGCTAGTTCAATTGTGATCCAATTCCAGTCTTGCTGGTTCCTTCTTTTGTGGTATTCACCAACAACTGCGTCGAAGATTCATTGAGGATCCTTCGATGTCATTTTCTGCTATTGATAACATACTCTGTCAATTTTAGAGCACCCACAACCCTGTCGAAGTTATATTTGCCTTATTTCTTTCTTTGACATATTGATAAGCTACAGCGTGGCCTTTCCATTTAAATAAAATAATGTAATTTCAACTGTTTGATTGTCTGGATCTTGCTGCTAATAGAAAATTATGACCCATTCCCTGATATTCCAAATGAAGATCAACATGATGAATACAATACTTATCTGATTACATTGGACTAGCTGGTACCTGTGCTTTTAGAGGAAACTTTTATGGTATGTGTATGTATGTGTGTGTGTCATTGGTAAACTGCTTTTCTTATTAGCATTTTCTTTTTACATGGGGAAAAGTGATGCTATGATCAGCTTTCGGATTTTATGCTGAACCAGTAATTTGTCTAATGGTAACACAACCCATTATTTATTGTAATGCTACTCCATTGCAATACTGTATGCGAATTAAGTAGATTACGATAGGAAAATTATGCCGTATAATTCTATGTTGTCCTTTGCTTAAGATGTCCTAGTATAGTTTTATAACAAATTAAGTAGTAAATTTGCTCTTGGTATTTGATCTTTCATCTTCACATGTTCCCATGGTTTCATACAGATGTAAAGCAAATTTATTTTTCTTATTGTATCTTTTGACTTGGCAGTTAGGTCATTTGGAACAGAGGGGCGTAAAAAGGATGGCCCACAAATCCCTCCAAGTGATAAAGTTTATGAGTACATTTTGTTTCGAGGAAGTGACATCAAGGTATACTCGATATCTGCTTGGATAATTGAATTCTTATGCTATCTATCTTAATGAACTAATTTCCCAAGGTAAAAAAGTCATGAATGAAGCTTGTGATTGTTTGTTGTGGTGTTTGAAAAAGGTGCCTGGAATTTAGTCTTCAAGCGCCATACTCTATTCCGGATTTCTCTCCAGTGCACCCATACGCACTAAAGTGTGCTACACAAGAGGAGGGGGCAAAACTTTATTAGCCTAGGTTCAAGTGCTCCCCCGTGTGATGTGGGACTCTATCCATCTCTTAGCTGCCCGTAAGGGGTGGTGGTTGCTTATGGTCTATTCTCAGAGTGTGGCCTCTGATTATCTGATACCACTTGTCATACCTTGACCACACTTGTATAGTATTGTTCACTTTGAGCCCAACATTTGCCCTCATGGATTTGTCAATTGGTGTACCTACACACCAAAAACGTGCTACACAGGAGGAGGTAGAGCTATATTAGCCCAGTTTCAAACTCTCTCACAAGTAATGTGGGACTCTACCAATCTCCCAATTGTTCATAAGTGGACACTCCAAGAATCTCTACGCTATGAAGCAGACCATAAGTAGCCACCACCCCTTAAAGACACAGCATCCTCACTCTAACACCATTTTGTTATAACCTGACCACACCTGCATACTATTGTTCACTGTAGGCTCACCACTGACCCTCATGAATTGTCCTTCGGTGTGTAGATATATTTGTAGGAAAAATAGTTTAATATAGGCATATTTTTTAGCTCAAAATTGAGTGGGCCCCAAACGTCTTTTGGGGTGGGTATGTGTTCCTTGCCGCGTGGCAAGTCACACGGTGAAGACGGAACGTCAAAACTATTTATGAGTGAATGGGAAGTTGACGTCGTTTTCGGATTTAACATTAATTTTTTAGATAAAAAAATTCTTTTGAATTTTTTCAATAAAAAATTATTGTAGGAATTTAATTTAATTCTAAATTCAAATTTTGGGTTTCTAAGTAGTTTCCTAAAGTTTGTAATTGTGAGAATTTAATTAAATTCTAAATTCAAATTTTAGGTTCTTAAGTGATTTCCTAAAATTTATACCTCTTCATTTATTTATTAAATTATTCAAATTGTTATATATATATATATTCATTTAGTTTAGTATATATATTCATTTAGTTTAGTATATATATATATATAATAGTTTAAATAAATAAGGTCCAACAGGTTTGACTTTGGTCCAACGGCTACTTTTTTATTAATTTGGAAAGAATTTGGTTCCACGTGCATCGGTCAAAAATCTGTTTAAAACAGATTGCATCTGTTCATTTAGCTTTGAAACCTGTTCGGTCAAAATTTTGTGCCTATTTATACCTATCATTCCGGCAGTTTTGGGGAGAGAGATTTTTTTATCTGAAAAATCAGTCTGATTATTGTTTTTGGCTGTCCTAAATTCTGCATTTTTGCATTATTCTTCATATCAGATTTAGTATAAATTTCAGAGAGTTAGAACACAGGTTTGATTCGTCAAACAAATTGTTTGGTGTACTACTATAATTTGTGAAGATCATTGTATCTTGGGAGATAGACGCCACTCAACCGTAAGTACCGTAGCTGGGCGAATCTGTCTTAAGGACAGAGTGTCATACACTCAACTTGGTCTTAATTTTAATTCGGTTCGATAAATAAATCTGGTATGTTATTTATTTATTTTGTTTGTATTTATTTCAAGTTATTTTATTTACATAGAAGATTGTTCCAACAATCTTAAGACAGATTCGAATTATTCTGTTTACAGAATTTTTCGTTTGTTTCCTTTTTTCATTCTTCGTAAATAATTTCGGAAGAAAATTATTTTCTGTGAATTTACAAAATAATATTTTGGTTGGAAAAACAAATAGTGATTATATGCTATTTGATAGATAGTAGTAATATACTGTCTCTTTTCTTTGACAACTAGTAGTACGATACTGGTGTCATTAACAATTCAGAATATATTTTTGTGGAATTTTGTCAGGAAATTAATTTTGGTTTTTTAGAAATTATTTTCTGAGTTTTCATTAATTAAAATTCTGTTTTAGTATTTTAATTATTGAAGTGCTACAGAAATTAATTTTCTGTGGAATTAATTTGGTTGAATAAAATTTTATTTTATTTTCAAATTAATTGAAAAATAAAAGTTATTTTCTTGTTTCTTTTATTTTACAGAATTTAATTTCTTGTGTGGAATTAATTTGGTTAAATTTTATTTCCAAATTAATTGAAAAATAAAAGTTATAGTTTTTATTTCTTTTATTTTACAGAATTTAATTTTCTGTGTGGAATTAATTTGTTTAAATAAAATTTTATTTTATTTTCAAATTAATTGGAAAATAAAAGTTACATTCTTGTTTCTTTTATTTTTACAGAATTTAATTCTGTGAATTTGGTTTAATTTTCTGTGTAGTACAAATTCTAAATTATAATTTTATTTTATATATTAGAATTGATGGCTACTGAAGCTAATGCCCAAACAAGTACTACTGTGGTGGCGGCAATTGCACCAATCCCTTCTCCTGTGATGACAGTACCAATAAATCATGGAGAGAAGCCAGAGAAGTTCTCAGGAGCTAACTTTAAAAGATGGCAACAGAAAATGTTGTTCTATCTTACAACTCTGAACCTGGCTCGTTTCCTCCGTGAAGAGGCTCTTATCCTGAAAGAGGATGAAACCAACCGGCAAGTGGTTGCTGCGGTTGATGCTTGGAAACATGCCGATTTCCTTTGCCGGAATTACGTCTTGAACGGACTTGACAACACATTATACAACGTGGCTACTGAAACTAATGCCCAAACAAGTGCTACTGTGGTGACTGCAATGACGCCAATCCCCTCTTCTGTGGTGACAGTGCCAATAAATCATGGAGAAAAGCCAGAGAAGTTCTTAGGAACTGACTTTAAAAGATGGCAGCAGAAAATGTTGTTCTATCTTACAACTCTGAACCTGGCGCGTTTCCTTTGTGAAAATGCTCCTATCCTGAAAGAGGTTGAAACCAACCGGCAAGTGGTTGCTGCGGTTGATGCTTGGAAACATGTCGATTTCCTTTGCCGGAATTACGTCTTGAACGGACTTGACAACACATTATACAACGTCTACAGTCCAATCAAGACAGCAAAGGAACTTTGGGAATCGTTGGAGAAAAAGTACAAAACGGAAGATGCCGGCTCAAAGAAATTTGTGGTTGGCAGATTCTTGGATTTTGTAATGGTTGATTCAAAAACTGTGATCAGCCAAGCTCAAGATTTCCAACTCATTCTGCATGACATTCACGCAGAAGGCATGTCTCTCAGTGAATCCTTACAAGTTGCAGCCTTAATTGAAAAATTACCAAAAGGCTGGAAGGAATTCAAGAACTACCTCAAACACAAGCGCAAAGAAATTTTTATGGACGAATTAATTGTGCGTTTGAGAATTAAGGAGGACAATCGCAATTCTGAAAAGCGGGCTGATAAGCATCCTATGGAGTCTAAGGCAAATGTGGTGGAGCATGTTTCAAAAACCAAGAAACGAAAGTCTTCTGGAGAAAGTTCATCACAAGGCTCTAAAGGGGGGGAATGTAATGACCGTTGTACCCTCAGTTATTAATAATACTACATCTTCTTCTTACTTGCTTGAGTTTTCAAATTATGGCATATAGTAGACTAGGACATGTTAATTATGGATCTTTGTGTAGATTAATTAATATGGAATGTTTATCTAAATTTAACATTGATTCAAATCATAAATGTGAAATTTGCGTTGAGGCAAAATTATCAAAAACTCCTTTTCATTCAATTGAAAGAAGTACGGAACCACTTGAATTAATTCATAGTGATATTTGTGATTTTAAATCAATTCAAACTAAAGATGGAAAAAGTATTTTATCGCTTTTATAGATGACTATACTAGATATAGGTATGTTTATTTAATTCGAACCAAGGATGAAGCTTTGAAAACTTTCATTCAATATAAGAATGAAGTTGAAAATCAACTTGTTAAGAAAATCAAGAAACTTAGAAGTGATAGAGGTGGTGAATATGAATCACCTTTTGGTGAGTTTTGTAAAGAACATGGAATAATTTATCAAACCACCGCTCCTTACTCACCTCAGCAAAATGGAATTGCTGAGAGGAAAAATAGGACTTTAAAAGAAATGGTGAATGCCATGTTAATCAGTTCTGGATTACCTCAGAACTTGTGGGGGGAAACAATACTTTCTGCTAATTATATTTTAAATAAAGTACCCCGAAAGAAAGTGAATCAAACACCTTATGAATTGTGGCATGGAAGAGTACCATCCTACAAATACTTAAAAGTGTGGGGGTGTTTGGCTAAAGTGGCTATTCCTAGTCCTAAAAAGACTAAGATATGTCCTAAGACCATTGATTGCATTTTCATTGATTATGCCAAGAATAGTAGTGCATATCGGTTTTTGATTCATAAATCAGAACATTCTGAAATGCATGTAAATACTATTATTGAGTCAAGGAATGCATCATTCTTTGAACATGTATTTTCAAATAAGACTGTACAAGAGACTAGTAATAATAAAAGATCTCATGATGCTATTACTAGTCAAGATCAAGAACATGATCAAGAGCAAGAGCAAGAGCAAGAGTTAGACCAAAATGAGGAAGAGGAACCTAGGCGTAGTAAACGTGCTAGAACCTCAAAATCTTTTGGTCCAGATTTCCTAACATATTTGTTAGAAAATGAGCCTTTAACTTTTAAAGAGGCTATGTCCAGTCCTGAAGCTCCTTTATGGAAAGAAGCTGTCAACAGTGAAGTTGAATCCATCTTGCAAAATCACACTTGGGAATTAGTGGACTTGCCACTAAGTTGTAAACCTCTTGGGTACAAGTGGATTTTCAAAAGGAAAATGAAAGCGGATGGATCAATTGACAAATACAAGGCAAGACTTGTGGTCAAAGGATTTAGACAAAAAGAAGGTCTAGACTATTTTGACACATACTCACCGGTTACTAGAATAACATCCATTAGAATG